TGATAATCCTATTCCAGAAGGCTATAAAGGTTTTCAGGTAGATATCATGGGAAAGAAAAAAAACCCCAAACCAAAACACAACAAACCAAAAACACACAAACCAAAAAAATCCAACCACACCACAAAAAACCCAAGAAAAACCAACCAAACAATAACCTTTAGGCTACAGAACAGCAATAAAGCTGTACACAGCTTCTCACAGTCTCTGGAAGTAAGTATTTTGGAATAAAACCTTCAAACAAATCTTATTCTTTCAAAACAGCTATTACAGTTTAATTCCCTCCTCCTCAACTTTCTATATATATATATTTGTATTTGACAAGGACAGTTTCTAAGCTTTCATCCAGAGTATCTTATTTGTGATTGTGATGTGTTACGCAGCTCTTTTCTGACAGCTTTTGTCTATATCATCTAAACAATCAATTTTCTCTGTTTATCTTGATGTTGTTAAATAAAGTTTCTAGGTTAAATATTTATGATCAAAAAGTGCCTAGACTTCCAGATGTGGAGATACATAGTAAACATACTTAGAAAATTAAGCAAAGCTATTGAAAATAACTTTCACCAACAATTAGAACTGGTAAAATTAAGCCAATCCCAAGGGAAAACACCTCTCTGGCTATGACAGCTCTCTAGCTTGCATTGCAGCAAGGAGATGTAAATAACTATTTCTTTTCTATGGCTCTCTATGAAGAATTTGTTTAACTGGTTTTTAGCTGAGTACATGAATGCATGGGGGAAGATGGTACCCAGCACATTTGCTTTCCGAAGTGTCAACTGGTTTTGATTCAGAGTTAGGGGCTGTATCCTGTGAGCCCATCCTCAGAAGGAAAGTTTGCACGCTCTAGTGAAACACTGCAAACAGCAGCTGTCAACCTCATTTCCAGCTTGACCTAGTTTGTTTGAGGTTACTTGAAGTGATGAACTCATGCCTCCTTTGCTTATTTTTAAGCCATCCCCAGTAACCCTTTGTGGCTTTTCTGTTCTGCTTTCAGTAGTTGCTTTTGAGTAACATGTTTTCCTCAGTGTCTCCTTGATATCAGACAGTTCATTAAACCTTTTCCACAGCTGATCATCGGCTGCATGCATTTCATCTTCTGGTCACTTAGACACACTCTCAGGGAATCTTCCAGGGGTACTTATTGTCCCTCTAAAATATCAGCACAGCAGCTATTTAGCTGTCTTGTACTGGTGGGAACTAAGAACAAGGACAGGAAGTAGCTCAAAACAGGAGTAAAACATAATTTCACAACTAAGAAGAACAAGGACAGGAGGTAGCTCAAAACAGGAGTAAAACATAATTTCAGCCAGAACCATAAGATAAAACTCACAAGAAAAACAATGAGCTATAATGAGATTTTGCCTTACATTAGGTTACCAACACCCAACTTGAAGAGTATCACAAGACAGCAAAAGTACACATTTAAAATTTAAAGAGCTCTTCATGCTGGAGTTTGGAATTCCATTTCCAATTTCAGAAAGACAAAGGGGAAATTTTAACTGCTATTACACTAAAGAAATTTTTGTTTGAATAATACAGCCATTAGCATGCCAACAGAGGTACTGTATTCTGTAACACAGCTGCAGATAAAGACTGACATTTGGGAGTGTTGCGACACACCCAAAACAACTGGATATTAAGGAGATATCTATATCCTACAGATTGAAAGTTTGTAAATCAGTATGAAAGGATGTATGAAAGACAAAGTTTATAACCCCAGCTACAATTAAAACAATAAAGAAATGTGATTAAATTACCACGTGAATAATTAAAATACACATACAGAAAGTGACTTTCTATTCCTTCCCCAACTGTAAATGGTATGGATATCTGCAGCAGGTGAACATGAGGTAGAAGAGAATGATTCAGCAGAGTAGCTATGGATATGAAAACAGTTTGTAGCTCTCCTGCTTGGGACTCCAGGACGTGAAGGGTTTGTCCTCTGATACAGAGCAGCAGAAGCACACAGAGGCTGTGGACACCTCAACTCTTGAGCCGAGCCAAGAACTTCAGCAAGTCTTTATTCATCCTCCTTCCAGAAGACTATAACGAGGCTATCGAGCTTCCTGCTTTTTGTAGGATGATGCTAAAGTACTGATCTGCAAATTTAACAGGAATCTGGTGTGGGCTGGCAAAGTACACACCAACCTTTAGTAACATGCTATTTATTGCCAGTTACGTAAAAACAAGCTGAATTCATTTCCTTTACAATTCTTTTGTAATTTTTTACTTTCAACTGTGGCCTTTCTATTTGCAAGCATTTTAGGAGCTGAAATAAGCAGAATATTTCCCAAATTTTAAGAATGTCAAAGGCAGATTCAATATTCGCACACTTAAAGGTGCCACTGCTGCACACTGAAGTCCACTTGAAGACAAAAGGAAAAGAACCCATAAAACTCCAAATTTGACAGGCCAGTCTCAGGTACACTCTGTGGTATTTTACTGAATAACTATCTTAGGAAAATTTCCTTGTCCACAAAGGTTAACTATTGAAACAAACGCTAATTTAGCAAGCCCACTTGATGGAATAGTTTTGGAGGAGTATTCTCGCCTAATATAAAAATCAGAGTTTATAGGTTCTAAGGCTTTCACCACAGTCTATCTTTAAAAAAAATTATAGCAAAATTTAACAGCATGTTGCTTTGTTTTCCCTTTTCCTTAAAAATTTAAGGTAATGAAAGGTAACAGCATTTTTGCAATGATTTAGTTCTGTGAGGGCATTGCACTTGTACAGGAAAACTTACTTTTTTTCAACAGCTCAAACAAAAATTTGCAAAACGTATTCCTTATTATTTACACCAAAGTTCCCATCCTTTCATTAACTTAATTTTTAAAATGTGCAAAATTTATTTTTTCTTTCAATAGTATGATAGTGAGAAAATTAATGTGGTCAAGCCTGCAACAGGTGCAAAAAGTGCAGGTATTTGATCATGTGAAGAATATAATGGAATTAAAACATGCATTTATCACACACAAAACATTTTCTAAATGTTTTAGCACTATAGTTTCACCACTGTATTTCAGACTTAACCAGGAGAAGCAGCAGAACTCTGTTACCAGACTAGACTGAATAAAACATCAGTGGTCAAGAATTCTACTCTAAATTCTGTACAGAAGTCAAAGAACAGCTACTGAGAGAGAAGATAGAGACTTTCTGGGGCACTGAGCAACACTTCAAAATTAAAATGATCTTTCATTTCTGGAACAAGAATGATTGCCAAGAAAAATTTTCAAGGCCCTATGGCAGACATGAGTGAAAAAGCTCTGTATTTCAACATGCAATGCTGCTCTGCAAAAGAAGCATTGAGAACGGTCCCAGGCAACCTTCACACCAGCTCACATAAAGCGGTGCTGAAAAAGCAAAATTTTGTCATTGTTACTTTTGTACATGTTGTATATTTCTTCTTTTACTACCAAAATCCTCTACGTGTCTTTCAGCTTCTTATCTCATTAATATCTTCAGGTGCAAAGTAAGCAAGAATATTTACTCACAGGGGGACTACGGACAGCTTAGTTCAAATAAGGACAGGACACATGGAAGATCTGAAGAATTACTATGGGACCAAGAGTCAGACATCTAGATTGAGAGGTGCCTGTTGAGACATAATTTTCAAGTGCGTTTCGAGAAATTCCAAGCTGCATAAAACAAATTAAGTCAGACCTGAAGCTTAAAAGACCTGACAAGCCAGCAACTGCATCCTCTCCCAGCCATCTGATAAGCATCTGTGATAGCTGAAAATACTGAGAGGTCAGATGACAACGTCAAACTGAGCAATCTGGCTTCTAAATGTAATGGAAAGAAACACACTAGCGATATATTGGTGATGTTACAGTGTTTCAGATTCAGGAAAGACATAGTATTTAAAAGATTACTTTCCAAACCAAGAACGACTGTACACAGCTTAAGGTTGTTATTTTGGGCCCTCTTGTAATAAAAATGAATGCACTACTGGACTGAAATTGCAAACTGCCTATAAAGGGAGATCGTAAGTTCCCTTACTCAGTCTGCGTAAAGAGGAAACACTCCTAGCAGCCAAGGAGTGCACAGAGCCATTAAGTATTCTTGGATTATTCACAGAAAACATATCACAAAGCTATGGAGACAGGTAAGCAGCAGTTTTATTACAAAAAATAAAGGATTGCGTGGCCCACACAATCCTTAGAAACAGAAGAATACTTTCTGGAAATCCACAGCACCTAAACTACATTAATACAGCAAATACTGTTCAAACAGTTGTACAAGGCTACAGAAAAAAAGGAGCTCATATGGTAATACAAGCAATGAAAGGAACAGGTTAAAAATAAAAAGTCTTGCTGCAAACCAGAGTTTAGTTCATAAAGAGCAGAACAGCACATGACTAGATCAAAGCCTAAGCACTACTTGGATAAGATCTAACATAAACCAAGAACTAAGAGGCCTGACAAAAAAAACACAAACAAACCAAGAGCCCACACACCTTTCCTCCAGCTTTAAAGAGAATAGTTTTCTCTTCAATGAGCAAAGGCAGTAATTTTATTTCTTTCCATTATTTTGTTCAAAACACAGATGTTAAATAATGCCTTATAAAAGTGATTTGAATTAAATCTAAGTAAGACTGAGTGAAACAATTATTTCCCTTTGCTTACAACATAATACAATAGGATAATTACAACATTTATACTGTCCTGGAAAGAGATTCATAAGTTGGTGTGCCAAACTAAAAAAACCCAACAAAACCAACAAGTAAACAGGAGGCACAGATTAGCTTGTAACCAGGCAAAATTCAGAAGAAAAGCAAATGCACACGCCCACACACAACACAGAAGTGCCTCAGAAACTTACTGCAACTTTCATTTGTTCATTTTTACTTAAAAAAATACATTTCTTGATTAGAACTCAATGATAACATCAAAGCTAGTACTTTGTGAATCAGAACAGGCCTACCGCTACATTTACTACAAACTCAAGAAACACGGGTACTTGCTTAGTCAAGAACGAGCAAAAGACCACAAGACATACCTTGTACATTCAATTAACGTGACTTTTAGTCGACCTTCTGTCAAAAGAAAATCCTGTATACAGAGGTCTCGATCTTCATATTCGTCAGGTGGCAACACTTGAAATGGAAAAAATGGCTTGAACCTGAAAAATATAAGAGACTTATTCTAATTCAAGTTACATAAACAAGACTAAAACACAAAAAGAGTAACAGGATTACAATGACTCTTTAACACTCCTAAAGAGAAACACTGCCATTCCTACATAGTTATTGATCAAAAGGAACAAGTAGAAGCTACTAAAACTTTCTGAATGCAGAAGAGTGGAGACAATATAAACACAGATTACCTCACTGGAATAGATTATTTGAGTTACAGTTACCAGTGTAGCTAATTTTGATAAAATAAAGACCTGGTAAGCCATTTACTGCAAAAAGACTCGTGTTAAATCATGTTTGCAATCGGAAACGTTTTCTGTTATCAGCTTCCTGTTTAAGCTCATCTACATAAAACATCACAGCATTGAAAGGTGAAAATACACTAAGACCCTAAAGCCTAAAGTTTTATGACACTGCTGTAGTTAGAGGACTGGCACATCCTAATAAACAGTACACTTTAGTTACACAGATTAATACTTCTCTTATTTTGCAGAAAACATTTGGTTGCTCTTTTCAGCTGGTCTTTTTGAATTAAAATAAAGATACAGGTATTCTAAATACTTGCCCTTGAGCTTTATTTCCCTCATCACAGCACGTGATTCAAAGGAAAAACAGTTCATGTTCAAGATAATGTGTGTAAAACACTTAAAAACACTCAGTATCTCACCACATAATTCCCTCTCTTTGATTAGAATATGCCGAGTTACAAATACAGATTTCATTTTTAAGTGACAGTGCTTAAGTGTCGGACACAGCCACGATCTGAGGGAAGGAAGGAGGAGAAGAGGCTGCGCAGCTGCAGCCCCATCACATGGCAGACATGCACATGCGATCCCAACGGCAAGGAGCACAACCCTCCAAATCAGAAAATATCATGGAATCTACGCTAGCATTTTATATAAAAGTATTTGAAAAAGCACTTCCAGGGTATTCCTTCTTTCAGTTTTTCTTTATTGCTCCCACTTCCTAGCACTGCCCTATGCCTTGGTTTCCATCCTCTGTCACCGACAGAGATTATTTCTGTGGAAAAGACTTACAAATAGCAGGACACGAGCACCACTGCCTGCAGGATGTATCTGCCATTTCATGAGAAAGAAGTCTTTCATAAGTACTGTTTGCTCAACCACCAGAGGCATCTGCTTGTCACATTCAGAGATCACAATATGTTCAGGAAACAGTCACATGGATCTGAACTGAAGAGTTTCAGAAATTCAAATAAATAATTAAGCTTCCTTTAACTGTCGGCACACTCTTTGGGAGGGAGCCCGATGCTCTGATTCGAGACACTTCGTTTCTGTACGAGCATCAGCCTCGTACAGAGCCATGAGAAAGACATGTCTTTTGTTCTCCTTGTGAATAAATACAACTCAACACTCCAGATATTTTCCTGAAATCCAATTCAGCTTCTAACTTTAATTTTGTTCCAAGTTTCTTCCTCCTTAACTCCTTCAGGAACAAAAATGTTTTGGAATTGGTCAAGTAAAAAACTTCAATCTTAAATACTTGATTTTTTTTATTTTATTATGTCTGTGTATGAAAAATATGAAGCTATTAAAAACCTAAACCATGGCCAGTGGGATTTAAAACCACCAACTCAAAACATGCCTTGTGCATTTACTATCTGGTCTGATATTTTACTCATCATCTTCTTGAATCAGGGAAATAGTAAGGATCACAAGGGTAGGGAAAATACGACCAGGATGACCCCACTATTTTCACTCTACAAGACTTTCTGCCACTTCAGGGCCTGGCCACCTCTCTGCTCAGACCCACCCCAAGCCATCACAGCACACAGACCTACACGTTTCTCACTTTAAGTACAAGTAAGGGTACCCTGTTCCTTTTAGGAATGATTTTTACCCCCTCAAAATATAGATTTAGCTCAGATTTTGTTAGGCAAAAAAGGAAGAGTTGGGCAAGCATACTGGAAAATAACACCAAGTTTGGAGTGAATAAATATTTGTAGATTTGGGGGTTTTCCAGCACAAATAAACAATTTTTCAATTAGTACCAGCAACTGCCCATATACCTTCTCCCAAAATCTATTTAAAAAAATTAGTTTTTCCATGAGAACCTCAAACGAACAACCACCATCAGGAACATCAGTGAGCTACCCAAACAAGATTTCTGGGAGGGAGGAACAAACGAAGAAAGAGGATCCAACAGGTTACCCTCACCTCTCTGAATTTCTGCAAATGCCAGGCTTAAAAGTGTTGGTACTGCTAACGTCTTTCTCTTACATATACCATAAAACAGCGTGCAGGCTATTTAACAAAAACACAAACCTGAACAAATCTATTTTCAATACTAAAACTAAGAACAAAACAAAAAAGCAAACCAACAGACTAAAATATTCCAGCAAGGATGCAGACATAGCTACCCACATATTCAAACCAAAAGTGTCATCTCTCAAGTAACTTCAGAATAAAATTAAGTACAGCACACACTGCAAGCTTTTGCTGCCGCACGGAATGATGAAATAATCCTCAGAAGAAGCCATTTTTCTTGGTAGGTTCAGACATAATGGTTAATATTTTTTTTATTTCAATTTTCAAAATAGACTTTTTTTATTAATACAACAATGAATTAAAGAGGAAAAAATTCTAAAATACCAATGCAGTTATCTACAATAATATGCAAAAAAGTGTATGCTGATCTTTGTGCTGCACTGGTTAAATTTTCTACAAACACGGGATTAAAAGCAGTCTCAACATCATTTTTAATTTACAACAAGCACTTATGTTCGCATTCTTACCTCTGCAACTAATTTGCAAAATCCTTGGCAAAAACCCTAACACATTACCTATTTCCATTGGCATTAGCAACATACAAAGAGCTAAATATCCCACATTAAATGCATTTTTAATGTTTAAGTGCTGCTCTGAAGCCTTCCAATTTTATAACATAGCAGTTATCTATTTAAGGTAATTTACTATCAGTTTGTACATTTCCAAAATTAAACATCAGAGAAATTACTATTTCAAGTAGATTTCAATTACACATTAGGTAAGTGAACTGTTGACAGACTATTTAAGTAGAAGATAACCCAAAATTTATCTGGAAAGACTTTCCTACTGGGAATTGGTGAATTAATACAGACCCAGATGGCAACAGCTGGTAACACAGTGAGACGCCATTCCTTTGCATTGTAAAGCAACACGTAGGCAACCTGCAGTCTACTCACATAACCGTCAGGCATCACAGGTTCTCCCATCTTTTCCCCCATGGCAGGGAAAGCTACTCTACCTTTCAAAACCACAGTCACCAATAACGAAGGCCACTCTGAGGAGCGTGTTCGTACAGAGCCATCAGTGCTGCAGTCTTGTTCAGTCTAGCAGGCGCACAGAACAGCAACGGGTGCTCTCCTCTCTGCGGAGAAGCCAGATTCCCCACCTCTGCAATGCCTAATTTTTCTGCTTGAAAACAATCATGTTGCTAGGCAAAATGTAATCGTGAAGTTTGTTTCATAAAGCATTTACAGTAAGGACAACAAACACACTTCTAATATGAAAGCAGAGCTGTACATCATCGTATTGAAGCACCAAGAGCAGGCTTTTAGCTAACAGTGCCAATAACACAATTCTGTGAACGAGACAAGAGATACAACCTCTATTCCCAAGCCCTGTGGACTATGGTACCTTTGGTGATTCAGCACCTTCCTGTCCCAAACTTCCCTATGTAAAAGGAGAGAAGTTTCCTATCATCCTATGTTTGTTATTATAATGTAGAACTTACTTTACTAAATACATTGTGTAAATAACCTTGCTGTAACTTCTGTAATAGTTTTAAGGGTGTATTTTGCTACCCTCTAATGTTTAGTCCATCTTTAAAGATCAAAAGCCCACCAATAAACGCCTTTGGGAAGTTAAACCACACTGATGAAGAAAAAAATAAAAAAAAAAAGATTATGTAGCCTACCAGTAAGCCTCAATTCAAAAAGTCTATAAAGAAACCTTGACAGCAAACTAAATGCCTCAGTTAATCTCAGCTGGTCTCTGCCCTCATCACAGCAGCCATCCCAGGATCTGATTCGTTCTGGTAGGTTGCTCTTGTGAATTCAAGGCTCCCACGTTGCAAACTCTGAACAAGAAAAAAAATGTGGTTTCTATTTTGCTGTCTAGATCTTCAAACACTCATCCAGTATTCTCAGCTCCTTTTCTTAACTTTAACCAGTAACCAAAAAGAGCTAGTGGACCTCATCAGTGGAGAACAAGCCCTAACAAATGGTTTGCAATCGGTCCGTTCGCTGCTGCAGCCTGAGAAAAAGGATTTAAGCCATGACAATGACGTGAGGAAATCTAGGAGATGCTCCTGACAGTACAACAGTTGAGAAAGTGTTACCAAAAGGCATTTACAAAAAATATAGTAACTTTCTAAACACTGCTGAGCTGTTACCACATTCTCTGAGGCAGACTTTCATTGCATCTATATCACACTCCTTTCAAGTGGGATACAATGCTGCCGCCTCCTTATTCAGCAAGGTCAAAAGGCAAAATTCATGCTCATGCTTTGCAGGTCAAGGATTTATGACATTACAGCAACTCAGTCCACCTATCCAAAAGCCTCCTTTTCAATTCCAAACCTGCGATATTATACTGAACAACTATCAGAATTAAGGTAGATTTTGTGGGGGAGAGATTTTACTGTCTTTAACCCGTATTTGTTAAGCTTTTGTAAACTTTTCACCTTTTCCAGAGTAAGATATGCACATCGTAGTTATGTAAGAAAAACAAGACACCTTACACCCCTGCTTTAGAAGGGCCTTATATTAGATGCTTATGTGTTTTCAATTCGTTTTTAAATTATCCGTCTCCCTCCACAAATCTATCATCTTATTTGTCCAGAAGTCTAAAATCCAAACAGCACACTATTAAGAAAGCGTTAAAAACCCAGCAGTTTAACTTAATAATATGAATAGGAATATCCATCAAACTTCATGTGAAGTTTTAGCAAGTGAAAACAAATCCTATTAAAATAATATTTAAAA